GTAGATGTTTTGGATGAGGGATGACTGATAGGCTGAGTGGCCTTCTGTAATCTTGCTTTTTCTTATGACTAGTGAATATGCTTGTGCAATGTTTATCACAAGAATGTGTAATTTTACGTAAGGTAAATTGTTTGACTAGTTATAGAAATTAATATATAGTTTGCATGTAGCAAAATATTATTAAATAATTCTTATCATTTTCAAGTGACCATTTTTTTTTTTTTTTTGTTAAAAAAAGGTAGTGGAAATGGAGGATGATGGAGAACCACAATTTAGACCTTCCCATTGGGCCAACACAGAATGAAATATTTCTTGACACACAAAGGTAAGATTAACATTAAATCAACTGAAATGTTTTTTTTAACTTTGACCTTTTAATTATTTCTAGAAATGGTGTTTTCAGTGAAAATTGTGTGTTAATGTCCAGTGTTTCAGGTTTTACTATTTTATTTTTTGATACTGACAGATTTAATAAGAAATAAGTTATGATTTTTGTAATTTTGTTACTCAGCAGAATTTTAAGTTTTAGTGAGAAAGAAAGAAAACATGTAACCTGACCTGTCATTCAGTTCACTAATTGTCACTGACACTGGTGAGTAAAAAGCAGCTCAAACACAATTCACATAATTTACAGACCACCATTATAAGGAACTAGACTTCTTTTTACTTTGTCTTTTTTTCAAGGTAAGTAATGAAAGGGGTAATCCCTTGAAATTGCTCTGCACTACCAATATTTTGGTGTCTGTTCCATTATGTGAATGTTGTGTTAGCATATTTCTACTTCCTCAGTTGATCCATTGCAACTATGAAAGTTTGTGTTAAGTTATTGTCAGCAATGAGTGTGCTTCTCAGAATTGTAATTGGCTTAGGTAGTAATGTATCTACAATTTTGAGGAAGATCCTTATAAATCCTAAACTGTTTCTATTTATAAGGCAGTGACTCGTTAAGCAGGCAGTACAAAGTATGAGTTAGGGAAAATTTTGTTTTTATAGTGTCATGAAAAAGTTAAGTTTTAATTCTGTTTTCATAACAGTACATTGGAATTATATGACATTTGCATTTATTTATTGACAGTACTCACTATTTCATATGTATGAGGAGTAGAACTGAAATGAATGTACATTCATTTTTGACAATGTTCAGGAAGGGTAAAAATTATATATATTTTAATATTTAGATAATTTTTACTCCTTTATGGAAAAGGAGTTTGCCTCCTTTTCTTATTTGGCCTTTAGTATTTCTTGAACAGTTTAGAAACAAATTTAGGTGAAAATATTAGGATAATTTAAGTATATTTTAAATTCATTTAATCTTCACCAAATTAGAGTAGTTTCAGTAGGGGAATAAGTTGGTGGTGCGCAAGAAAATTAGCTCCATCCATAATTGGAAACAATAAATAGAAGTTTATAGACCAAGGTAGAACTTGGAGGGTCTTAAGATGCTGTATAATGAAACCTGAAGTTCTTCTTGAGGATTGTGCTTTCTTTCCTTGTCACTAGTTTTTTGTGATGAGAGAAAAAAATTTCATTGTTTTAAACAACTTGTCTGCTGAATAATTCTGAAGAATGAACTTACCCTGTGGAGACAGGCTCAGTCAGTTTCACCAACCTTGTAGCCATAAAAGTATACATATTGTAATTTTGAATATACTAAGTGTATCTTCATGAAATTTGGTAAACTTTTAGTAAATGCCACAAGTATGTTGTACACATAAAATTAGGTTTTTCAACAAAGTATTTTTCAAAAGATTTGTTTGTGAATTTAAGAAGTATGTATGAGTTAATGTGTGTGATGGTGATTTTTATATTAATAATAAAAATACTTCTTTTCATCTTACAATTTTCATGTTTCATATGTTTAACCTCTAGAAATTCCTAGATGATTAGAAATTTTTTTTTGTAAAATTTTTTACTTTATCTCTTATTCTCTCTACCCAAACACCAACTGTTAAAAAGTTAAATGTGAAATAAAAAATATATTTTTGTATAGAATGACTAAAGATTATAAAAGACACTTACAGTTATTTATTCTAAACCTCCTTGGGCCTCTAACAGTTTCACATCTGCTGTCATGTAATTTTGTTTTATTGCTCTTTGAACTAGCAAAAAAAGTAATGAATCTCCTAGTGAGAGCGTATGATAAATAAACTATTGAGTTTCATCAACTGACAGGTCATGTGCATTCCTTGAGAAACTTATCCAATTTTTAAAAAATTTAAGTTAACTATCCCAGTAAATTTTATTGTTATTTTTAGTTACTTTTGTTAAAAAATGTATAACAGGTCATGCACATTCCTCGATAAACTTATCCAATGTTTTTGAAATCTAAGTTAACTAGCCCAATAAATTTTATTCTTATTTTTAGTTACTTTTATTAAATAATAATAATAAAAAAAACAACCAAGAAATTTAACACTTTATCTTTCAGGCCTTTTACACTTGGATGTGTGGTTTAATAAGCCTATTTTTTTTTCTCACTGTGTTGGTTTTCCAAAAATAATTCATGTAGTTTTCAAATGTACATTTTAGAACACAATATACTAAGCATTAGAGTAGAATGTCCCAAAATGACTATAATTTATTTGGCTTTCTAACTAACCACTTATAACACTAATAGCTGGGTTTTGATATCCATGATGGGCACAGTGCAGATAGCCTATTGTGTAGCTTTGTGCTTAATTACACACAAACAAGCTAACTAACTAAACTATGAATAGATTAAAAGTTTCATTACTGTTTTGAGCAACATCTTTAATCTAAACACATCATGCTCTCCTTGCAAAATATTGGGGAGAAACAAAACAATTATCTGATTTATGTAGCTTAGAATATACTTTTTTATATTGGTTATGAAACGTCCAAAAGTAAGGTTGAAGAATATTACAGACACTTCTTAAAAGACTGAGGATATGAGGAAGATCTGTTGGATGATATCTAAGTTAAGGAAAATAGAGTTTGGAATTTTATATTGTGGCTTGTCAGTATTTGTAACGTGTTTTTGATTAGTTGAAAAAGGGAAAAGAAAAATCTGAATGAGAAGTCAGTGTGCCACTGTGTCATGTGACTCAGAGGTGCAGATTGAGAAATTTAACTATTTTTTTTGAAATTAAGAAATTAAATCTTAGTTTATTATACATTTTGATGCTACATTTATTAACATACATTGATAATAAAGAAGTTAAATTAAATTTTGCATGTAACTGTAAAAAGTTCATAACATGCATACTTTGACCCTCCCGTGTCTGTAGGGCAGGGTTTGTGGGGTTACATTTCTGGAAAACTGCTTTCAAAAAATTCAGTCTTGGAAAGTCAAAGATTTTTTTTTGGGATACTTTTGTTTAATTAATTCGTTAAATTTCTTATTGTTAAGGCCCTGGCCCCCACAAATGTGTTGGATATGAGCTAACTCAATTTGGCTCACTGCTTTGTCAGTCAGGTGTATTCTCATGTGAGTTCTCTGTTTTTTCAGAGCTGGCATGTGAGTTGCAGTTGCTGCTTAGTAATGGTTTAGTTAACTGTATGTTTAGTTCTTAAGTGCTATATTGAAAATGCTTTAAATTCGCATAAAACTTCCAGACAAGTGCCATTTTAATGATAGATGGTCAAAGGTTGTGTGTTATGTATGCAGAAAATTTTAATAAAACACAAACACAATGGTGCTGCAATTCTAAAAAGGATACAGAACAAGACATATTGGTTCAAATTACAGATGTTTTTCACTTCATGCAGCATGAAGAATGTTCCAAGCATCATCTTAAAAAAAAATAAAACTCCAGATGAGTGTATCCAAAAAATCCTTAGGATTTAAACCTGTTGCTGAGCATACTTGCCCTTTTAGCCATGGAGGTGTAATAGTGTGGTAGTCAATCCCACTATTAGTTGGTCAGCAGATAGCCTTAGTAGCTTTGCTACAAACAAACACATTTTCTAATTTTTATCTTATTCATTCCCTAAAGATTTTCAAACTTTCTAAGATAAAGTTATAAAAAGTTTTATGAAATTGCTGTTCTTCTAATTGTTATGTTGTTTGACTTTAAATTTAGTCTACTTGTAGAATATCCAAAATACTAGGTTTTTACTTTGGCTAAGTATGCATTTGCTTACTAAACAAAATAAGCCACGATTATTCAATTTCTTTGGTGTACTGTAAAAAGTAATGTAGAGGCTGAAGTACTATGTTCAAATGACATTAAAACAATTTTTTTCAGTTTGTTCCAAAATGTTTGAGTAACTGTGTGGTTATAGATACAACACTCGATGGTCTTCAACATTGTTATAAGCAGTTCTGAACATGTAAAATAATGTTAAATTGTCTGGAATAATGCTAAACAGAATTTGCTGTTGATATATTTTTTAATGCAAAATTTAGACCTATTGAAATAAAACTTCTGGAAAAGTGTACACAGTATTTTGCAACACGTGCCTGATAAGTGAATATATATCTTTCACTGTTCTTAAACATTCAACAATACATAAGCTTAATGTATATAACTTTAGAGATGTTGAAAAACTTCTTACATTTGACATCATAGCAAAATTATAAAGTTTTTAAAGAAACTGTAATCTGTGCAAAAGTGGGAGATAAGTGTAATAAAACAAAATTACTGTAAATAAACAAAACTGGCTTATGCATTTCAAAGGTTTCACTAGAATTTTTCTGTATTTTAAATGGTATTAAGCTATCATATTAAGCCTAATGAAGAGCAGTTGTTTGAAATGTTACTAGATAAAATAAATTTTAAAAACTCCAACTGAAAATCATGTGCAGTATGCAACGTTGAATTTGTCAATCATTCAGATTTAATAATTTTTTCATATTACATTTTAGGCAAACTACAACACATGGATCAAATGCATAATGAATAAATTATTGTAGTGTTGCTCATTTTTGTCAGGAAATGAAAGGCAAGTGAAAGGATGTGTTTTTATTAACTCCTTTCCTATGGGCACCCTTTCCTGTGCATGTCACAATATTTTACTTAGTTACATTCAAAATTTAATTTCTGGCCCCTCCTTTTTTTTAATATCTAATATATTTACATGCTGCTAGTGAGAGAACCTGTTGTTAAAATATTTGAATCCCACCACTGGGTTAGTGCAATATGCAAATGCCACAACATTCTGCTGAGGGTTAACATTTCTCTGCCCACAATACCATTACATTGATGTGTGTTGCAATAAATAACAATGCTAAAGGACAGGAAAAGATAATAAAACATTAAAATGAATTTATATGAAAATGTAAAGACACAGTTAAGAATATAATCAAAAGAAGATGTTTTAAGACTATTTCATGAAATATTAAGAGGTATGTAAATTTTTCGTATATCTTAATTATAAGCATTTCATTGTGCTATACTATAGTCTAAGTTGACGACAGTAGCTACAGTTAGTAATATCATAGTAAAAGTGAAAATAAGTATATAAAAATTTACCTAAAATTAAAAAAAACTTGATATTCATTTTGGAGGTTCTAGGGGTTATGCAAATGAAATCTGAAAACTATAAGATGGAAAAAAAGTATTTTTATGCTCATGTTGTTTTGTTAGTTACACGAGATGTTACTAAGGTATAGACCTGTAAATTTAGAATTTAGGAAAAAATTTTCTTAACAATTTTAATCTGTTAATTTTCTTCTGTTATTTCCAGTGCAACTGCAAGCACCAGTACCTTACCTACTTCTGATGAAAAGCTACAAACAAATATTTCAGTTGAAGTGGACCTTCCCGAAATAAAGGCAGAAGAAGGAAATTTAAGTCCACTTGATTATCTTCCTTCTTTCTCAGAGCCTCCTATATTTGAAGAAATGCCAGAGCTTGAACCTCAAGGAGAGACAGGTATTATAATTTCTGCAGCTAGGATTATTTTAGTTTCTGTACTGTAAAGAAAATCCAATAACATTTTCCATCGTACAAAAGGTGAGTTTTTATGCTTGCAGTAGAAAGCTAATTTCAGTAAGAATATAATATTGAGAGTATAATAACTTTCCAGTTGGTCATTATTCTGTTTCTTTATACTGTTTGCTGAGGAATAAGATACTTTAATTAGGCCAAATAAAAATGCGTGTGGTTCTAGCTATCCCGCTGACCCTATGAAATCCATGCTAACTCTATACATTTTAGTGTTCCTTTCAAAAAATAAAAATAAAAATACCAACCTGCAGTTATAATAGGACAGGATTTGAAATAAAAAAAAATTCAAATAACAAAATGTGAGTACATCGATTAAATTTGTTTGTCTGTACCCATGTTTGTAGTGTGTTAGACTCTAAAATCTGCCCTACTGAATGTTTTTTAAAATGTGTACCTTTTTCAACTCTAAACCATGTAGAGTGCGTGATGCTCTTGAATTTCATTTCCTTCAATATAAAGTATTTCATAGATGACCGTGGAAAATTTGCAAAAAGAACTTAAAACAGAATCTGATGCTTTACTAACTCTCTCAACATGGGCTTGGTCTGTTTGACCGACCAAGTGATTTCTTTGTACTCATTTAAAATCTTTACAGATTTAATAGTTTTAACTTTCAATATAGTGTGTATATCTTCACAAAATTTGGCAATCTTTTGGTTAATATTATAAGTCCTTCACATACAAAAAATCATATTTTTTAGTAAAGTATTTTTAGTAAAATAAAATAAAGATTTATCCAAGAATATATTGAGTATTTGTTTTGAATAGTCCATGTGCAAAGTAATTTTAATTGTTAAAATTAAAAATACTTCTCCTCATTTCAAATATCTCTAATTTCCTTTGTGTAATCCCTAAAACCTCCTAAATGCATTTCAAACGTTTTTTTTTTCAGTAAAACTAATTAATTTTGTTATTTTCTCTAACCTATCTCAAAACAGAATAAACATGACAAACAAGAAATAAAATACTTTGACAATCGACAGCAAGAAAAAAAGAAGATTGGTTAAGATAGTTAACTCCAATTATTATATACTAATGATTGTAATACATTTAATAATTTTTAGTTAGTTAAATAATGCACCAAACAATATAGACTAATAATTTGCAAAAAATAGACAAATTACCTTACCTCTCGATATTTTTCAGGTTTTCTAACTATGCGACAACAGACGTTACAAATTCATCCAAGCTAGTTGTTAACTTTCTCACAGGGACAATGTTGGTACTCTGAATGGAATACACATTTAACCATTCAGAACATAGTTATACAATACATCATTTGATATGTGAAAACCTTGACTTTCTATTGGTTATAGATAATATATGATTAAACATAAGAGAGAACTATTAACAAAACTTGAAAGAGAGGGTGTGGCAGGAGGGGTTTGATTTTCTAACCGATAGCTCTGTAACCAAACAAAATTGAAGACTATAAAAAAGTATATGGTTTGTCAGAGCAATGAGGATTTTTTAGTGAGCAACTTACGATTATTTTTGTACTTTTCCAGGGGGTGGTGGATAAAATAGAGGAGACAAGATGCCTAGATCAAATGTGTCATGTGTCACACTATGGGAAATTCAGGATTTGATAATATTGCCTTCTTTTTCCTCTTTAATTTATACACCACCTCTCTGAGAAGTTCAAAATTTAATGTAAATTACTCACTATAATTTCCAATATGGTACATTAATCCTCTTGCATATATAGCTATTCTTGTTCAGTGCTGCCCTATATATACATGTGCAAAATTTTTTGCACGAAACAAGACTTGCACTCCCTCTTACCCATGATTATTGTAGTTCCACTGCATCTCGCATGCAAATTGTCATGTGACAACCCTCCACCAAAAGGAGTGAGACATGACATCCTAATCCTTTCTACTTTATTCGATTCTAATGAACTATCACTTCTTGTTTGGTAGTGCTACAGTCAAGACTTGTTTTGCTTGTGCTCTATTCACTCATTTTTTTAATATTAATATCACACAAAGTGGAAAGAAAATTCCTAAATTTTACTATTGTTTTTAATTTTATAGTTTTCTGTGCAAGAAGTTAATATGACCACTTTGGAGGTTATACCACCTGCTCTTATCACACTTACATAGGCTTCAGGTTGGGGGAACTCGACTGAGGAATTTTTGGCCTTTATTCATGGAAGTTTGTTTATTATCTGAGTTGAACTTATTCTTCCAGTAATGGTCTACTTCTTCTTGAACAAGGCAAACTATGTCATGATAACAAGGATTTTGATGGCCTTTTTTCTCTTCCCACTTATGCCATGCCTTCCTATGCCTCTCCTGTAGAATCTGCCATGCCTTATTCAACCTTTTTTAGACATGATTTCTCAGGTATGTTCATTTTATCCATTTCTCTCATTACCTATAATTCTGTTCCTTCCTTATTACTTGACACTTCTTTCTCTCAGTATTTGTTTTTTCTCCTTCTCCTGACATCAGAGTGCATGCTGAGCAGCTTGTTTTACAGTTGGGAGCTGGAGGTAGCATGCCTCGCCATCCGTGGGCCATTGATCAGTTTGCTTCAATTTACCAGCAGGCAGATTACCCCTTTCTTGATTCTCGACAGTTAGAATCACTACTGTCAATTTGGGGGGCTGACCGTGACAGTCCTGTCCATTTATACCAGGCCTAGGTTTTCCATCTTTGTCTTTCCCTTATGACTCTTCTATGGTATTTTACCACCATACAGCTCCTTTCTAAGAAACTCCACCATTCTCCTGAGGGAGTTTTTAGGGATACCTTTTCCCTCTTTACCTATACATTTTCACGATTGTTCTCCTCGGCTCTCTCTCTCTTCACATATGGTTTCTTTGCTGTTGGGACCTTCTTGGGGGGGGGGATGCTGTCTTGTCCCAGGTGCATTTACTGTCAGCTTACCTTTGAGACTTGCAGATAGTTCCATTTCTCAAAAAAGTTTGTTTTGGGGGATATTCCTTAAACTTTGGAATCATTCAATGCCATCATCCTTGGTTTATTGTTTGTCTCAGCCTGAGCCCTTGCAAACCCATGTTCCTGTTCCACTTCAGACACACTCCTCTTCTTTACCTGTTCCTCCCACTAGGGGTTCCACCATTTGTCATTTTTATTGATGCAGATCTCATCGTTGCCAGCAGTACTGATGACTATCTTGTGGGTTCTGGTCCAGTGGGGGCTGGTTTGACCGATTTTGTTCCCATATGGTAGGAATTCATTGCCAATCATTGGGTTCTTCAGATACTGTCAGAAAGTCTTGTCATCCAATTCCTTTCCCCACCCTTGTTGTCTCCCACACCCATATCCCATCCATTACCTCAGGATTCTATTACCAGTCAACATCTGTCTGAGGTGGTCCAGACTCTTCTATCACAGAGGGCTATTGAGCCTGTCAGCCATCCTTCCCCAGGCTATTTGTGGTACCCTAGAAAACCGGGTAATGGAATCCTATGATTGGTATGTCCCGCTTCAGTCAATTTCTGGATTTATCCCATTTTACAATGGAGTCTTTCTACACAATACGGTGGGCTTTTTCTTTGGAATTGTGGATAACTAAGGTAGATGCCTCGAATGCCTATCTATATGTTCTATCTATAGATCTATCTATCTATTTCTCATTTGTGCAGATGCTATCTTTGGTTTGTTCATCGTGGGATTGTGTACCAGTTTTGCGGCTTACCCTCTGGGCTTGCTTTTGCTCCATAATTATTGTGTTGGGGTCAAAGATTTTGCCTGACTTGTACATACATGGGAGTTGAGCTTATACCACTACATGGACAACTTGCTTCTGTTAGCTCATTCCAAAATGGATTCTTCTCATCACCCATCTCCTTCTTTCAGAAGATGCTCGAGCGAGTTTGATTATCAAGTTAGAAAACTCTTTCTTGTCTCCTACAAAATATCTTGTCCACTTGGGAGTTTTGTTTAAACTCCCATTTCAGTCGGGCCCACCCTTCTCCTCTTTGACTCCATTTGATGGAGCTTTCAGTTCTTCATGCACTTGCTGCTCCCTCTCTTCCTGCTCATGAGGTTATATAACTTTTGGGGACATGGACTTCTATGGAAGCTCTTATCCCCTTGGGTCAGGCACATATTCAGTCTCTTCAGTGAACTCTGCATGACCAATGGAATCTTGCTTAGGATCCCTTGGATTCTCCATTTCTCTTCCTCTTTCCCTTGTTGAAGATCTGCACTGGTGGTTGAACAAGGCCCACACATTGTTGGGTGTATCACTTTCTCCTCTTTGCCCAGATTTGCATATCTTCACCGATGCTTCTCTACTTTGTTGAGGCTTGTGGGTCGATCAGCTGGAGGGTTTTGGACTGTGGTCTTCGATCAGTCTTACCATATCAACATCTTGGAGCTTCTGGTGGTACAACGGGCTTTGAATCAATTTCTTTCTCTAGTCAGGAATCAGATTGTCATGATCCATTCTAACAATTCTACAGTGATGGTTTATATCAACTATCAAGGTGGTACCTCTACTAATTCCTTTTGTGGTCGAACTGTGGATCTACCTTTTTCGGTCCACAAGCTTGGGATACATCTCTTGGTGTGTCATGTTTTGGGTGCTTTCAACCTTGTGGCAGATTGTCTTTCTAGACCGGACAAAATTTATCCCACAGAATGGCCTCTCAAGCCTCATGTTCTCTGGTGGCTATGCTAACAGTGGGATATGCCTCTTCTTGATCCTTTTGCCACCTTTTCTCAATACCAAATTACCTTCTTTTTTTTTTTTTTGGTATCTGGTTCCTCATCAACAAGCCCTAGCTGTCAATGCGTTCAGCCAGGACTGGGCAGACCGATACCTTTATGTTTATCCTCCAATTTATCTTCTTCCCAGGGTAATTTTGATCATCCATGGCACTTTATGTCAGGTTCTTCTGATTGCTCCTTACTGGCCGGCACAACCCTGGTTTTCTCGACTAATTCAACTCCATACTGCTCCTCCATCCTCATCGTCTTCTTCCCAAAATCTGTTCCTGGTGTTGTCACAAGAGGTCAGGCACCTTATCTTCTCCCTGGCATCTCACCTCCATAGTCCATTGGAGAGAATTCCTCAGGCTGGTGTGTGGATTGCTCCTCATATGTTCATCTCCCACTATTTGTACTGGGTGGCTGTTTCTTGCTCGTCTGGATACCGACTTTTGCACGTTGCCATCCTTCAAACTTTGGTGGGACTGTGACTGGGTAAGTTCTCTTTTTTTATATACATTTTACTTTCTTTCAGGGGCATGCCCCTTTTTTACTGTTAGGATCCCACTCTTTGGCAAGTGTTGCCTGTCCAGGTATACTTAATGCATCACAAATCTGCACTGTAAGATCATGCTGCTTTCATAATGTAATACATTCCTATGGCATATAATGCACCTTGTTGAGATGGGGTGTTCTACAAGATTGCTCATAGGTTTTTACCCTCATTATATTTACTTCATGGTAAAGCCATGGGTAAAGCCAAAGTGGATAGCCGCCCATTCCTTCCATCCTTTAGATTGAATAAATCAGTGTCGGTCTGCATTCCAAAATAAGGTTTTTGTGGTCACCTACTGCACTTCTCTGGTGTTGAATATAACTAAAAAGTTGACATGCATACTTTGACCTACCCATAGTGAGAGGGCTAACAAAGAAATGTAAATTATTTAATTTTATTTATGTATGACTTTATTATTTATATTGTATGTACAAGAGATACGTACATTTATTTCATTTGATTCATATATAAATTTTATTTATATTTTCATTTGATGAATACATAAGGGTAAAACTCTGTCAGCAGTTTATTTTATATACAGTTGTAAACAGCAGCTTTCAATACTTTTGAATCACATCTAAATATAAATAATATTGTATCTCGCCCCCCCCACCAAAGGTTAATTTAATAATAATAATATATAATATTATGGGTTTATTGCTTGTCAAAATAAAAAGGTATTTCCTTCTAACCTTCTGTATTTTGAAAATTGATGTAACAGGAACCACACATTTTTATTTGGCCATAGCATATTGAAAAAAGAAAATAAGCAATTAAGTATGTTGACTTCAAAGTGAAGAGAATGAAGAAAAAATTTAAAATATGTAGCAATTAAAGTAATATCTTTAGGTTTGATAAATGCTTTATGCAGCATACTATTCAGAGAATTAGGGAATTGAATGAAAGCAAAGGATATGAAATTTATGTTATATGTTAATTACTTGCTATTTCATTTTTAACATTTTTTAAACTTTTTCCTATTGGCACCTGGAGGGAGAATTGATTTCTTGTTTTGGGAGTCTGGCTTGACCCTGCTGTTAGTTGTTTGAATGGTTTCCAATCAGATTGCCATTTGTAGGGAACTTTCTGTCATTGAAATGATGGAACCATTGCCACAAAGTTTGGGTTCTTGTGATTACTCGCTAGAGACCATTCCTGTTTTACCATGATACCTTGCAATAAGTTTGTGCTATTCTAAATTGTACTTGGCCAACAGTTAAATACGACTATTATAACTGGAATTTTGAGAGATTTGCTAAGTGAAGTGAAGAAACTAATTCTACTGCAAAGAAGAGGTACAACACCTTACTCATACAGAATAAATACCCTTAGTGACAGTCTTAAACAGTCTGTATAATGCTTTTTTGACTCTGGGTTGATGATAACTTCATAGAAATGGTACCAGTTTTACTTTATCTGGAGATAAAGTAAAAATAATGCAGCATTGAAAGAGGAAAGTCTGAAACATGTTAAAGAAAATCAAGTCTAAATAAAATAATGTCTGCTTTCAGATAATCTCAATAAAAAAAAGTAGTCTTCCTGACAAAAGCAAAATGGCTTCGTCATAATAATTAAAGGAATTTTATTAATATAACCATGTTTTTATAAATATGGTTTTTATGTTTATACTGTAAGGCATGTTGTTAGGTCATTTATGCATACAACTAAAAGCTTGTTATGTGAAAATACTTTTTCTTTTACTTTGAAATTATGTATTTCATATGTCTTATAACAAAAAGTATTTGTAATAAATGAGTTAATAACCTTTTTAATGCATCAAACTCTGTTGAACTCTCAGAAGTTTTTGCTGTGCTTCAATATAATTTCCAAATATAACTAAATTTGTAAAATTTTTTGGTGTTATGTATAAGTTCAACAGTGTAATTAGTCTATGTTTAGAAAATTATATTTTCAGCATCTTGCATCTAAATTTATTTCATACTATATTTTAGACATGAATGTTTTTCTTTTTTATGGAGCTGACTTTACAAAATATGAATATGATGATCAGATCCATTCAGTACCACTAAAAAAGTTCCACTTGAAGATTAATCACACTTTATAAAATAGATGTTCCAGGCGATTATACTCAGTATGATGCATGATTATGCACTGTTGCTTAGACACACTTTCCATAGATTCAACTGAACATAGACATCAGATACCAAGATAAAGTTTAAATAAACCAAATGTACAGATATCCGTAAGTGTGTGTTCAGGTGATTTCATGGGCATGTTAGAGGGTGAGGATGGTATATCAGTTTTGTTCTATATAGTTTATAGAAAAACTGCTGTGGATTTAGACGTGATTTCATGCTCTATCTTGTTGTAGCTTTACTTTCTTGGCATCCTGGCCATACATTGCAGGAATTTCATCTCATGTAGTTGTTGTCAGTATGTTCTTAATTTATAGTAACTAGAATTTACTTTGTATGATTTCTGATGTTTAAACTTCTTGTTATAGAAAAACCTGAAAACCAATCTAGACAAAAACATGTTACATTTTGTGCCATGTTAGACAGTTCCTTATAATTTTCTGGTTGGTAGCAAATTTTCTCTTTGTTGTTGTATTCTTTCAAGTACACGTAGGTCCAGTTCAGTGTTGTAACAAAATTTAATTTTTATATACAAGGTATTTTCTAAAGTTTTTTTGCAGCTTATCTTTCATCAATTGTTTGGAAAGCAATATGTGTGTTCATGGCTTATGTTTCTTTACAAGGGCAAGATCTTTGTGAATTATCATGTGCACAGTTAATAGGGATATGTGCAATTAATTAGGAATTACATCATTGGTGAATAAACGGTTTTATGAATGAACTATCATGCAAACTTTAGTAGCAGTAGTCTTGCATGGAGTAGGATGCTGTTTAAATGGTTTTACATTCTGATGTGGATGTGTTATTCTCTTCTTATCTGTGCTATTCACTGTAAGCTTTATTTATATAGTTGTCTATGAAAATGGTGGGACCTGGGATTCCATTTCTACTGTTTAACTGTGTGAATATCTTCCACCATTTTAATGTTAAATAGTTGAGAGTTCACTATAAACCAAACATATTGGTGTAAAACACTGTTTCCTGTGGTGCAGATTGTTCTTATAAAATGCTATTAGACCTCTGTATAACACATACATATTCAAAGAATGTTTAAGATTAAAAGTTACAACCTAGATTTTCAATATTAATTTTGCTTTTTTCTATGTATGCTTAGCTCATTACACAAGTCCTGTGGACCCAAATCTGTTTTCTCCAGGTTTGAATCTGACATCTGATAATGATGTTAAAGGTAAGGCTTCTAAGTTTTTTTATATATATATATATATATATATATATATAA